AGCTATAACATTCTTTTGATAGAACCGATTTCGAAGGAGTGAATTAATGATTAAAGCCCTTGAATTTGAATTCGCTATCCTGAAATTCTGTTGAGGAGGTTGGTTTTCACGTCGTTGTACCATTCTGACTTGAGGATACTCAATACAATGCTGTCTCGACGGATCTGCCCATCGGTACAATTGCTTCTTAAAACACCTTCTGGAACACAACCGATGCTTTTCATCGCAGCAATACTGCGTGCATTGTTATTGTCAGCTCTGAATTCAACACGCTCCAATTGAAGTTGATCAAAAGCGAAATCTAGAATGAGAAATTTACAGTTTTTGTTTAATCCCGTCCCATGGAACTTTTTTCCATACCAGGTGTATCCCAATTGAACGGTTTGGTGAACGGGTTGATAATCATAGAATCGCGTACTGCCAGCCCATTCGTTCGTTTGCTTGTCAAACACGATAAAAGGATAAGAAACGCCTTTTTCGCGATCTGATAAAGCAGCTTGAATGTATTTTTTCATGTTTTCAGTTCCAGCTCCGGATTGCAGCGAGTATGTCCACAATTCTGGCTCTTGAATGGCGTACTTTTCCAATAATTCAAGATGAGATGCTTCCAATGGAATGAGTTTTACACGATCGTTTTCAAGAATGATTTCGTCGGTAAAAGTTGGAATGGTTTTCATAGTGAGGTCTTTAGGAATTTAGTGATTCGAACGTTTGTTTCATTCGAAGTCCTAAGAAAGTAAATTCCATCCGATAAATGATCAATTTGAATCATTCCATTGTGAATTGGGTAAAAATCTAAATGCTTTCCGGTAGAGGATAACAATTCTACGATTTTGATGTCCTGATCTGAGAAGTTCAGAATAGTTGTTGCTGGGTTGGGAAATACGTGCAAGCTGGATGACAATTCATCTAGCCCGACCAAATCTGCTACTGCAATAATGATTGAATCGGAAAATGAACATAAGAGTGAATCAGTTACCGTCAATGAAGCAAAATGAATTCCATTTCCGAGATCGCTGGCAATAATTTCATTCG